TAAGTCAATGATGTTCAGCAATGTGATTGTTGACATCACCTTTCCTTGTCGCCCGTCTGTGTACAGTCAGTCTTGTTGCGAGGTTTCTGCCAGTCTCTCCGATGTAATGAAATGGAGAATTTGTGTAACAATCAAGAGCTTCGTAAGTTGTTGCTCATCTCCTTTATTCATGTAACCTTAATATGTGATTCGGAGCTGACATTGTAAGGAGCAGTAAAAAATAAAATGTCAAATTTTGTGGATGCAAATGTATAATAATAATAATAATTTAATATTTATATTGCGCAAATTAACATGTCAATATGATCAAATGCGCATCACAACACTGTTCGAGGGACTTTGGCCACACATTTATAATCCTTTACACTTGTTTGAGATTACAGAGGTCCATCTGTTTAGTTGCAAAGAAATGTATTTTTTCTCAGGGAGACCATAAAAGAGATTAAGACCATACAGGAATGACAAACCTTCAGATCCTGAACATGTCCTACCATTGTAACCATTTGGTCGCATCAATTATTCACAAAGCTTGCTTGTAATTCTATTGTTTAGGATTGGAGGCCTTCTCTCGTCACCTTTCTAACCTGGAGAGATTGGACATCAGTTGGTGTAAAGAAGTGACAGATGAAGGAGTCAAAACTGTCCTAAAAGGATGTCCTCACCTTAAACATTTAGGTGTGTAAAAAGCATAATTCTTGCTTGATTCATGGTTGCTTGGTAAAGTTTCCTCTTTAGTCATGTGTTGTTACTCTGGAAGTCATCTTATGTCCTGGCTCATGTTAATGAACATCTGTTTCAAGAGTATTTGGCAAGGTTTTCCAATAATGTTGTTGGTATGGGTTTGATAGAAACTCTGAAGATGTGAAGGGTGACTTATTTTGAGGGATAATTGTTCCATTTTAGAGAAAACTCAGTCCACTGCATTAGATACATTTTGGCCTTGCAAATGTTGGCAAATGATATTAACCCTTGAAACTAGACAGAGTTCATGCAGTATTGTGCATTAATTATGTTACTTGGGAATTTTTTAATTGTTTCTTTATCAGATATTCAGAAAGATAATTTTTAAGACTGATATCTGTTGGGTAGCCATAAGGATTTTTGTATCAGGGATGTAAAGAAGGCAGGCTGCTACCTTATATAATCATTGTAGGTGTGAGGAGTAGTTTGTTAAATGGCAGATTGGGAGTTAGACATTATTCACAATGTTGAATTTTGTGTTGGCATGGTTTTTTTAAGGACTTGTCAGATGTGATCAAGTTAATGAGCAGACAGTTATGCAACTGAGTCAACAGTATCCCCGTGTCTTCCTCAGTACTGTCATGACAGAGATGAATCGCATGTGTGAGAAAGCAGGCTTCCCTGACCTTTTAAAACAGTGAAAACTTTTGCGGGAAGACTTAGACATTAGGTGAATCACTCACTGGAAAGAAAACTTTGGAATGATCTGGTTCCTCTACCGTATGGATGGTCTATTTCTTTCTCATTTCAGTGACTTAAAGCCATGTTTTTAACACAAGCATGGATAGCAAGGTATACATGCAACAAATTTATTCATGAAAATTCCCAAGGTCATATAAGGGGACGTATTGCAGCAACTCTTCCCTGGGACATTTGTCATATAAGAACCATTCATCAAGTATAGAAGAGGTTGACTGATAAGACCCATCAGAAAGCAAAACATAACCTCTAAACCCTCCTAAGGATTAGAAAAAAAAGTTGTGACTTCTCCAAAAGTATATTTTTAAAAAAGACAGCCCCCACCCTCAAACAACAGGCATACACCTTAGATACTTATTTACTAAACAATCTGAAAATCTATATACCAGTAAAAAGATACTTAATGCAAGTTAATGTAATTATTAAGTGTTTGTAAGTCTGTATCACTAGGTTTGTTTTAAAGTGAAGTCCTCGGAGAGCAAAGCCAACGAGGACCAGTTATTAAAGTTACCTCCCCAATCCTGTTTGACATACTGTGACTGTTCTCTATATTAGCTTTAAACTGCTATGTATATATAAACTGTTAGGGTTTCTGAGGCTGGCAAAAAACATACAACATTTATGTGAGCAGCACTGAATGATTTTGTTAAAAAACAGTATTAGGTAGCCCCCTCATCTTTGTAGGCAGATTTCCTGATTACCCTCCACTTCCCCCCCCCCCCCCCCCTTCCCCCTCTCATTGACTGTCCATTCCTGCCAGCCCACTCCTGCAAAAAAAAAAAAGAAATGAATGGTGATCTAGGGTATCTCAACCTCTTAGTACACAAAAAGGCTTCCTGGTATTATTTTTTGTTGTAAATCACAAAATCTTAGTTTTAGCAAACATTGTTTTTATCTTGTCATGCAGAGTCTTTGAGGCGAGAGATTGAATCACATTATAAATTTGTAGATTAAGAAAATAAATATATTTTGATAATGCATGCTGTTTATAATTCGTCATAGCAAAATTTAAGTCTCCAGTAAATTCTTTCAGTTCCAGGGGCTGACCTTTTTTGATTAAACAACTTGATTTAATACAATTTTTTGTTATCTCATAGTTACATTATACTTGAATCACAATAAAAACAAAGTCATGAAAGGTTTCAAATGACCCAGAAAACTTCAACTGTAATGTCTAGTCTTGATGTTGTAGACTCTGAGCTGAATGCAAGTGTAACTCTGTTTTCAAGATGGCATAAGATATGTTCAGGTGTCTGGCTTGCTTGGCTTGTGTGCCCCACACAGCTACATTGGATAGCTCTCCCCCAATTATCTCAGTCAGAGATAATTGGGGGAGAGCTATCCAATCTACCTAGACCTTACTTTTTTGTATTTGAGGGTTTTTTTTTTTTTTTAATTTCTTATGAATTATGACAAAAAGTACATTAATACTTGACAATTTACAATAACAGATAGGAAAGAAAATACAGAATACATGTTCAATGGTACAGTGGTACCATGTATTCTGTAGCTGGACCTCTACGTGTTGTGGTAAGACCATGGGTTAGGGGTTACCTTAATTGGAGAGGGGAGATGGGGGCTTGCACAGGGCTTACTTCTCTGTGATGGCTCAACATCTGCCACAGACAGACTAGGAGATTTCATGCCAGAAGCAACAATGACTGCCAAAGGAGAAGCCAATCTAATGATTTTGGTCTCATCTGGTGTAAACCTGATTGAAATCCAGCCCGTTTAGTCCTCCAACTGAATTGACTATTGTCATTTAATGCTACATCTGATTCAATTTCTCAAGAAAACAGAACATAGTCCCTGCAGGTATCATATCTGTTGCATGCATGCATTAAGATCTACTGCAAATGTCGAAAGTGAAAAATAAATATATGCAGGTATCCTTATGCTTCCTTTGTTAGGCAGTGCTCCACCCCACCCCTGAATGATAGAAGTCCAAGAGTTTATTGTAAAAGCTTATGCAAATCGTCCCTCTTACTGTTAGCTTCTGAAAAATACATGCAGCCTTCAATAAAAACACTTTATTTTTCTGTATAATTTTCACAAGTACGTAAGCAAAATAAATAGTGAAAATAAATAAGGAATTAGTGTTTGCTCCTTTTGGCCGATTACCGTGAACACTTAGATTGTTTTAGTCGTTAAGTAATAAGAAGCCGTTAAAAAGAGGGCAAAGGCTACACGCTTTTGTAGATTTAAAATCTCTCCGTTACCATGGGAGTTGTGGTGATTTGCGCGAGGCATACTTTACTGATTAAATCACGATTTCGAATTGGCTCGTTTTGCTTTCGAAATGAGTCTGTTANAAGCCAAGTTCTGTGAATGAAATTCTAACAACGACTTAACTTATACAGAGGATTATTTTACTCGCGCTGCCGAGCGAATCTAAACCGTCTTCTTGCTGGATAATTGCTAGGATTCAATGTCGGCCCCCTACAACATCTTCCAGACCGCGATGAAGATCACCGATGGCTACCTTGAGCTGCGACTGAAATGGAAAATAAATAAAAACATAAGGGACCAGTATATTTATCGCCTAGGAGGGGGGGGCAGTCAGGGCCTTTTCCCGTCTAAGGGAAAAGGCCCTGGGAACGAGGTTGCGGAGGTCGTTGGATTTTGGTAGGATCACTTGGTTTTCAGGAGAACAGAGCATCTAGTCCACTTTTCTTAACAGATAAAAGTAATTTACGTTTGCTTCTTAAGCCCATGTTACTTTTTATACATACCCACGTGGTTTCTTTAGAATCCCTTTAAGTGGCACTTTACTCTTTTTGCTGGCGTTTGTTTCTTCCAAACGACTCTTATAAAGCGCATGCGTGAGTAAGCTATCTTCTGTAGCCTTTGTCAGGTCACTTTCAAACTTATCCATAGCACTCAGATGCTGCGCTTGTAGATAGAGACTCTGCTCCATGGCAAACCGAAGTCTTCTTTCAAACTCTTCCACACGTCTTTTCTCGTCCACTGGGGAAGTAGAATGCTTCCTCGGGGCTAAATGATCCACTTCCTTCGAACGATCATCATGTGCTACTCCTTTTTTGGTGCCTCTCTCCAAAATATGACTGAATTTGTAAAACAAAACAAAAAATAAAATAGAAAATTAATTATTATGAAATCCTTTTTGACAGTTCGCTGGTACCAATTTATACTACTCTGTGTGTTTGCCCTGCAACACAACATAACAACCCGGCCAGCTCTCGAACGGGGACCTCTCGTCCCCTTGTCCAGCCATGGGGCCATCGCGTCTTCCACTACACTCAGCAAAGAGCTCTCGGAAATTCAAACGGCAGAACATCCGGTAGCGAAAGAAAGAATAAAAAAACAAAACCCTCTTACAGTCGCTGTTGTCAGCGACGTTGGCCTTCACTTAAATACCTAAATCTCTCCACAGGATTTAAATTAAAAGAAAAGTCTTTCCATTTATAATAATAAGCAATCGCTTTTCTCAACTTCTTATGCATACCTTTGGTAATGACATTGTGTCTGCTTATCATATAAAGCCCAGTGATGACAGAAAATGAGCTCCGAAAATGATGATGAATGTTACCTTAATCTAATCTGATCCTCCTCTGCTAGTTTGTTAGACAACAGAGGGGTCTCCTCCTGTGACTCTCCCCCAGCGGTGTCTTCGCTTCCTTCGTTATTAGCCTCGTTATCGAACATGACGTCGACAGTGTAATAAATAGACACTAACAGACAGAAGCCTCCGAGCAAAAGCAAGACCTAAATTGAGGGGAAATATTATCTGTTGAGATGGCACCATAAAGCATAACTGACATTTATGAGGGACAAAGAGATAAAAAGGGGAAACCAAAAGAAAAAACAACAACAAACAAAAGACGAAAGCTTCAGGAACGTGATGAAAATAGACTTGATCGTTTAGCACAAATAGAGTGGCCTGAGTTCAACAAATCGATATATATGATTTGAAATAATCAATACAAACAATCGGAAAAATCGTGCTTTGAGAGTCACAAGCCTACCTTGAGTGTTCTCTCGGACACAACATCTTGTGGTGCGTAGAGCGGGGGCCTGGGCGGACACGGTGGGGTATCGTTACTGTGAAGGTACTTGCCACTAGCAGCTTCTTCCACCAATCTGACAGAAAAAAAGGAATGCAGAAATACCTTTTAGAGAAAATTTAAAAAATGAAAAATTTATTTCCGACTAGACTTACTTTCCCGAAGCTGTGTTCACTGCCTTTACGCGGGTTTAAGTTTGAATCAGTTTCTATTTAAAGCAGTTTTCAAATGAGTGTCGAAAAACCAAAACCAAAGTTATCTCAGCGACCAATCAGAAGAAAGATTGATGATATCAATAGCCAATGAGATCTCAAAGTGAAAACAAGCAAACTGCTTAAAGCGAGGGAAAACGTGATTGACCAAGTTGCGATTGTTTTTAGTTTTGTATCTGATTGGTTAAGAGGATGACGCGAGTTTTCTGACCCAATCACAGAGCAACAGCTATGCTTCAGTTGCGTGAAAAAGAAAACAATAACGCTTTTACCTCTGTCTCTTCTGTATCTCTTCAGGTGTCATGGAGGAACCGTAAAAAGTCAACTTCCAATCTTTTAAGAAACCTCGGCTGTCATCAAAACCTGACATAAGACGAATTGATTACTGAATAGCGGAATTAAACGACAAAGCGCGCTTTTCGATTAGGCGTGATTTGTTTAAGATTTGCCGCTGATTTCTTGTGAGGAATATTTTGTACGCCCAATCAGAAAACGCAGTGGGGTACAACCCAAAAAATTTTCGGACTGTTCTCAGCAATTGTCCAAAAATGTAGCTGCATTAGCTTGAGTTGAAACTAAGGCTTTCGAAAGAAACGGTTTGACAAATAGCAGATGCTGCTTCTTTGCCTTCAAAATCAACGGTACTTTTCTCTGCATATCAAATATACGATTAGTTTGTACCATTATCAATAACTCTCAGTTGCCAAGTTCCTTGTGGTTTTTCGCCCCAGCACCGAACAGTGGAAAATGTCCAGTCTACGAAACCATCCGAAGACCTACGGTGGAAAGAAATATTCATTGTCATATAAAGTTTACAGCTTTATCTAGAATTAAGAACGCATATCCCTAAACCAAAGCAGCACCGATATTTGTATGGTCCTAAATTCTACTTAAACCGGAAAAATTGTGAACTGGTGTTACTAAAAGATATTCACTGGCGCTACTTCGTGAGCTTCGTATTAAACGGCGGAAGGTCTGTCTTATTTCTCGCGCCAGACCTCTCGTAGATCACTGGGGAGCAGTTCGACCAGGGTGAGGAGGGGTTCGACTCTCGCAACACAGCGATCACTTGAAGCAGAAGGTGCGCAACGAGATCAATTTTGGCGCCCGCGCGTCATTTCTCAAAGCTAATTTTTCACAAAGTTAATTCAAGTACGGGTATCCTGCGGATTTAACATTCTGTTTTGAGTGAGATGCAATGAATATATGAAGTTCATATATTTTGAACTGCGGTATTAGATACGTATGATGTGCGATCCTCGCAGTAGATAGCGCTATTTATGCAATAGCGA